AGGAGGGCTCCGCGGGGCCGTGGCCGCCCGGTCCCCGGCATCCGTGAGGACCGCTGCCTGGAGAGGGGAAAAAAGAAAGAAAGAAAAAGAGCTGGTATGATACGGCCCTTTGGGAGGATACTGGCAAATAAGCAAATTAAACAGAAAGAGAGCAGCGTGTTGTCATAGCAACAGCGCAATTAAATTACTTTACTGTCAGCCATCATATAATTTTCCTGTTTAGAAGCTCATGGGACGTAACTTCCATTTGGAGTCAAAGTTGAGTGTGCAGTGTAGGTAGGCGATGCCGGTGCCCCTGGATGCCGGTGATATTCGTGTTTACCTTCTGCCTGTGCTGGGTGCTGTTTTGAAAGCTAGGAAGTGGGACCTAAGTAAGTTTGGCCTCCCGGTGTTTATATCTGCCTCGGTGTTTTTTCCTCTTCCAGATACTTGTGTGAAACCACGCGTGTTCGCTGAGCTTGTTGTGTGATGGTGTGTATTAATGGGCTTCTGTGCATAGAAGTTCTGTATGTTTCTTTTCTAGTAAAGGCTGCTTTGGTGTAAAGTGTTTATAGAAAGGCCCGAGGAACTTTTCTTTTTCATTTTTGCCCTTTTGTAACAGCTAAAATAAAGTCCATCATTTCTCTTTCGCAGAATGGCTATCTTGCTCTTTTTTTCCTGTAGATAGATGATTCATTCTGTTGTTACCTGTAGTATTTTTGCCCTTTGTTTACAGTATCGAGTGTGTGACTGCATGACTTCAGGGAACTGCTGCGGATACATTTCAGATACAGGGAATCATTTTGCTCGTTCAGCATTTGTGCAGGAAGTTTAGTCGTTTTTAAAGTCTCTTTCCAATTTTTATTTCACTGCTGTTCACATCTTCCGACCTAAATCCTGCGAGTTTTACTGTATGGAGAAGCTAAGGGAGCCTGTCTCCTGCTTCTGAAATAGAATTTTTGGGCTCCTGTCTGCTTCTCTTGAGGTGGGCAGGTGCCCAGCTTCACCCAGCTTCTGAAGGGCTCAGGTCCTCCTGAATATTACTGCTTGCAGGTATCCCCCCAGGGCCTGCTGGTGCGGTACCCTTGGCAGCTCGTCCCACCTCTCCTGGGCCACTGTTGAGCATCACAGCAGTCCTTCTGACTCTGTTTTCTGCCACATTTGAAATACAGTTCGGCTTATGTTAAAATCTTCTCTGTTTACATACATTTTTAAAGTGCTGTATTCCTCTGGTGTTTGTTTCCCTGTGTCTTGGCCCTGGTCCCAAAACTACCGTGTGTTGCTTTCCTTCCTCCCTTCTCCCACCCTTGCTGGTTTTGAAGTTCTGCTGTCATTTCTGAGTTTTGTTGCAGCTGTGACTGTAGTCAGATTGGATGCTTGTCTGCCTCGGCCTTTAGCCAGAGTGACTTTAATCACGGTGCTGTTGTATTGTCCTCAAAAGTGAAACAGCTGAACTTAATCTGAAGCAACTGGCCTTAAGTCCCTCTTTTTTTAAATTTTTTTAGTTTACATGCTTATTAAAGTGATACAATTGGAGTATTCAATGATTTGATACACATATTCATCACTAAAGGGACATGTCTTTAGGATTTCCTGTGTGGGGCTTCATGCACATGCAGAACTGAGGTGTATTGGGATTATCGTCTTATTCCATTGACTGAAATTTCTTCCCTTGTCATGACTTTAGATTATTTTACTCAACAGTTGTGAATGAGTGTTTATGTGAGTCTGTCATTTTTAATACAGATGGCAAAAGGCTGAGTGACCAGTTAGGGAAAAGCTGTCAAAATGTTACGCGTTATCTTTTTATGAGCTAACTTTTCTCTCTTTCTTTCTACCCTTCCTTTGGATTTGCTCTCCCAGGAGTTGCTGTCTAAATGGGTCCAGTCATGCCTCCCAGTAAGAAGCCAGAGGGCTCAGGAATTAGCGTTCCCAGCGGATTGAGCCAACGTTACCAAGATAGCGATTTATCAAAGGCACTTCACGATGACGAGGACCTAGATTTCTCTTTGCCTGCCATCAGATTAGATAAAGGGGCCATGGAAGATGAAGAACTAACTAATTTGAACTGGTTACATGAGAGCAAGAACTTGCTGAAAAGCTTTGGGGACTCAGTGTTAAGGAGCGTTAGCCCTGTTCAGGACATTGGTGATGACACGCCGCCGTCTCCTGCCCACTCTGACATGCCCTACGATGCCAAGCAGAACCCCAACTGCAAACCTCCTTATTCCTTTAGCTGCCTCATATTTATGGCCATTGAGGACTCGCCAACCAAAAGACTGCCCGTAAAGGATATATACAACTGGATCTTGGAACATTTTCCGTATTTTGCAAACGCACCCACTGGATGGAAAAATTCTGTGCGACATAATCTATCCTTGAATAAGTGTTTTAAGAAAGTGGACAAAGACAGAAGTCAGGTAAGTTTGGAACTATGGAAACCTATCTGGCTCTGAAAATATTCACTTGCTAATCCCAGAACGTGTCCGTAACAGTGAAATGCAGAATATGCAACACTGTCCCTGGTAACGTAGTTCATTAAATTCAGAGCGCCAACATTTCTTTAGCATGGCTCATTCTGATTTTATTAAATTCATTGTCTAGACATCTGTAAGAAAGTACTCGGTGTGTGTGTGTTTCTTCTTTTCCCCCCAGCTGGTGTCTTCATGCATAGTGGTTAAATATTGTTTTTAGTTATCATGCTGTGGTAATGGTTTCCAGCTATACTAGATGAATGTAATCATGTTATAAATAGGCTGCTTGCTGTTCTTGGCTTATACAAATGTGTAGTGAAAGGGTATGCCTTATGTAAGAGTCCATCGCTTTCTCCCTGGTCTGTGTTGTAATCTGAAAAAACTTTTCTTTCTCTTAAACAAACAGAAGTAGTTCTGAATTTTGGTGACGAAGCTTCATTCCATTTCAAGCAGGTTTTGGAGAAACTCTTCAAAGAGAGGAGATAGGTCTGGCATCAAAGGTGAAAGTTACCATTCACCGGAACTTCTGTCATTTTCTCCCTGGGCTCGTGTAGCTGCTGTGACTGGTGTGGTGGCAGAAGCCTGGGGAGCACATTTTTGCTTTCGGATCTCTCTTCTTGTTGGCTGGTTTCACTGCTGAATCCTCAGCGGTGTCTGCAGGAAGAGGCTGTGTGTGAGGGAATGGGGAAGTGAGCCGAGTGGTGGAGGCAGTCCTTTGCGTAGCCTTCTACCGCATCAGTTTGCCTGGGAGCAGATACCAGTTTCTGAAGGGGACCGTCTCCAGAAGCAGTGGTCTGGGTGAATCTTTGGCAAAGTACAAGTATACTGATAAAAGTATCAGCTTGTAGAATAATTTCACAGGCCTTCTCACAGGTTAGTGAAATAAATAGCAGGTAAAATCAGATCACGGACCATCTGTCTCTAAAATTGGCTGAAGATCAGAAAGTGGACGCTTTCTCCTGGCAGAAACAATAGATGCACTTAACTTCTGTATTTCAGTGAAGTAAATACTGTGATTGTCTTGTAGCTGGTTACCCTGAAACTACACTTCTGTTGGTGGTGCTGTTCTCCCTATTTTGCGTGTGATTTAACTTTAAATGCTGTGGAATAGGAGCTCAAGTAACTCTAGAGGAAGAGTGATACATGACCCTAAACTATCAACTTTTCATTTTAGATTACCTAACTTTCTTTTCTCTGGAGCTTTCCTTTTTTCAAACGATTGACTCTCTAGGGGTTTTTTTTATTTTTTTTTTAAATGTCGTTCCCTAGAATCCACTGTCCACATGTTGGTGATCACACACTGTATGTTGGTATTTTTATAAATTAGTTGCTGTGAATGATTATGTATGAGATCAAATAACCTGTTCCTGAACTGGATCTTGTTTTGTGTAAATCAGAGTCTTGAATTCTTGTTTGGAAGTGAGACTATAATAACAAGTGCCACACCAGACTTTCATGATCCTGTCTCAGACTATAAGAAACCTTCAGACAATACATTTAAAAAAACCCAAAAATATTGTACCTGGCAAGGCATGTGTTTAACATTGCCATTTGTGTTTTGTTCTATCCCTCTTCCTCTGTTTACAAGTTGACTGTTTAGATTACAGCTTCCTTCCTATGAAGAACTTGTCTTCATGTCTATCTGTCAAATATCCAGCAGTCGTCTGAGCTTGTATGAACAATACCACGACGCGCTGCTTCTCCACAGGGAAGTGGTGGAGCACAATGCATGACTAGTCACCTATGTCTCCTGTTCGTGATTAGAGCCGTGGTTACATAGCTAGACAACAAGGTGTGGTGGGAGGCCTTGCCTATATGAATAGCGAGGTGGGGTTTTATTCATTCCTGGAAAATCCCAGGTTATGAGAGAGAATTTCTTCCATCTCCTGGAGATGCTAATAATTGCAGGTAGCCACCATTAAGGTGAATGAGATGAGAATCTCAAACATAAAATGCACCAAGGCAGATCGTTTAAATCCCCTGCTGGGTTTTTCTCGTGTCCTGGCCAAGGGACAGGGCAGACGCAGTCCTGAGCGCAGAATTGGCGCTTGCTCATAGTTGCTGAATCAGGTGCTTGATAGCTAATTGTGGACTTGGAAAGCAGTAAACTTCAGCTGCTGGCTTTGAAAATACCTTCGTGTGTGTGCACACGCACACTCGGGGTTGATTTGAGTACCTTGCAGCCAGCATCTCTGCTGTTCAGAAGGAAGGTGTCCATCTAAAGGGTTCTCCGGTTTTGGGCTGGGGCTTGGGACAGGGGAAGGGGGGGACTCTCCTCTGTAAGGAATTGTTATGCCACTCCTTCCCCTTTGCAGCCAGATTCTGCAAACTGCAGGTTTGGAGTCTGCCTGTCTTACTGTTTTTATGTGGAAAAAAAAAAGCATTTAGCAAATGGCATGTTGTAAAATGCTAACAGGATAGGCTCTGAAACATGTACAGTACAGGGGGAAGGAGTTAATCAGTGCTGGGAATTGCAGGCATTTGCTAGTTGATGTGCGTTGACACACTGTGAAAAGCTAGAAGCTTTTCCTCTCATAGTTGTGCTTTCCAGTGTTTGTTTGTGTAGCCTTTCAGTAATCGTTTTTCTAAAAAAAGTTCTGCTGAACACTTAATTCTTTTTTGAATTCCCTCTGCATGGTAGTTTTCTCAATCTTGGGCTCCACTAATTTATATTCATGGGGCTAAATATGTATTTAATAGTATGCAGCTTTTTCTGCCTGCAAATGAATGCTTGCATTTCTTGATGTGAGATCCTTGTAATGGCGGGGGGGGGGGGTGGGGGGGGGGGGGGGGGGAAGCTTACAGGCTGCATCACTTGAGTTTTTGGCTTGCCCTGTCCTGGTGCTTTTAGGTCTGGTGTGGAATGCTGGGAAAAGACGTTTTTCTCCTCAGATTTGTTTATGCACTGCTGCTATTCCACTTCAGCTGCAATGCCATCAGGCTTACCTGGCAAGCCGACAGAGTGACTATTCATGTAACTTTGCAATGAGGCTGATCTCCTGGATTGAGACAGAGAGCCGGGCTGAAGAAGGGAAAATGCTGAGCCCTTGATTGTACAAACCTCTTTGCATTGAGCTCAGCAGTTTAATAGTAGTTGGCCAGAGTATGAAGTATCACATGTTGGGGAGTAGACGAGGAGTTCCCTGGCTTTGTTTATGCGGCCGGACCTGTGAATTCAGTCATTCAGATTAATCCTATTGTGAACGTACAGATCTAAATGTTCTCCAGTGTGCGTCCCATTTAGTACAGCCCGTTAGCCCATGACTTCCCTGACTTCCCTACCATCTGGTCCTTGGCTATAGAGAGGAATTTTTCTTGTATATGTGTCTCCATAGCAACGAGTTTGCAGTTGATATGGAAAGTAAGCAGTTGCCCTAGCAACGGAGTTACTGATGTGGCAGCTTCTCTGCTTGCAGGGAAAGGGCTAAGCTAGTTCAGACGCATTATGTAGGTTTGCTGTAATTATAGCTGCGCCCACTAGTGCTGCTCTAGCTAAGGGTCTGTTGAAAAATTTTATAAGCCCTCTTTTTTTCCCCCTTGAAGATTTGTTTTATTCGTGTAGGGATTCCTGCTTTGAACAAAGGCTGTTAGGATTGTTTTTTCAGGGCATGCGATACGTATGTGGCTTTTATGAATGCAAACTTTCTCAATCATTATTATCAAATGGGTGGGTGAGGGGAAAGGATGTTTGACCTCATTGGCTTCTCTGCAATTTTTTTGTCTCAGTGAACAGCCTGTGGTTATAGAAGCTGGGGCTCTCGTCCCATGCTGCTTTCCGCTATTCTGCTGTCTTTTCCCTGGTCTGTGCTTCTTCGGGCATCCATCCTATTAAGAGGGTTCCTCTTTGTGTCTGATCTGCGTTGTCTGAGACAGGGAGATGCACACATGCTCCTGGCTGTGTGCACACTGAAGAAATTCAAGTCTCTTAAAGGTTTGTTTAGCACTTGTGCTGAGGGACGTCTTAATAAAAATGTAATGAGGGTAAGGGATATGTTTATGGGGCTGGGAGAAGAAAATTCTCCTCGCTTGATGTGAAAGTTATTCTTAGAAGTACGTGGTCCATAACTGGGTCATGGAGATCCAGCCAGGCTCCTCCTCTGTCTGGAGCAGGCTTTGAGACCTGAGGACTCCCGAGTGGTCCTTGGGCTCTGCGAGAGCTGACATCCAACTTGTCCTCATCTAATGCACTGCCTCTCGTAAGGGCTCTGCCAGGGCACCTGATGAGAGCCACGGGGGACCCTTTGGGTGCAGGAAACTTTTCAGGAGTCCTTCCTGCCAACGTCTTTCTTCTGATGTGATAATGTCTGGGCTTTTGACAGGTAAAACCCTGCAGAAGGATAAGCACTAGCTGGAGTGAGAGGAAAAGGAGCCTGCTTGTTTTTTGTTAGAATCTCCCAATTCAATCTGCATATACACAAAGGCAAGGGACCAGGGACCCTGTCCTCCCTCTTTTAACATTATTATTCGAGAAGATCTCCTGTGAAAGCTCAGTGGCACTCTGGGGATAGAAATTATCTCCTCCATTTTTAATATTGTTATCACCTAGACTGACCCAAATAACACAAGCATCAGAATTTCACTGTGTTTATAATACCTGGTGGAGCTAAAGTGTAAAAAAAAAAAAAAAAAAAAAAAAAAAAAAAAAAAAAAAAAAAAAAAAAAAAAAAAAAAAAAAAAAAAAAAAAAAAAAAAAAAAAAAAAAAAAAAAAAAAAAAAAAAAAAAAAAAAAAAAAAAAAAAAAAAAAAAAAAAAAAAAAAAAAAAAAAAAAAAAAAAAAAAAAAAAAAAAAAAAAAAAAAAAAAAAAAAAAAAGGGGGAGATGGGTAGGCAAAACCCCCCCCAAAAGAACTCCAAACAGCAAAACAACCCCTCAGATTCATGTTAAAGACTTCAGATGATGTTGACTCCATTAATAAAATAATGCCCTAAATAAGCTGGTCCAATTGT